GAACGCAAAGCCTTTGAACTCGAGGACGACCTGCAAGGGCTCTGGGACACCAAAAACTCGCTGGAACAAGAGCGAGACCAGGTATGTCGTTTCCGGTGGCGCGATTATCCAAAGAAACTTATCCGCTTTGTAGCTCAAAGAGCACCTTCGGGAAGAGGAAGCTCGTGCCGAGGTCGCAAACTATAAACTCAAGGCGAGCGAGAACGTTTTGGCGGACCTCGACGGGCTTCGGAGGGAGATGAACCAGATGAGAGGAGAGCATTCAGCGGCACTCGAAGCTGCTCTTCAAGATGGAGCGAAGAAGCAGCTCGAGATCGACGCACAAACAACGTCCCTGTTCGAGCTCAAGGTCGAGATCGAGCGATTTACGAGCCAGACGCGGGAATTGCAACAGGAGAGCGCAGACAAGGAGGTCCTCGTTGCTCAAATGACGAAACAGCGCGCGCAAGATAAGCAAGACCTGGAAGGGCTGAACATCGCGCTGGATTCAAAGCAGCAGGAGCTCGAGCTGGTGAATTGCTTTCTTTTCAAGAACTCGTCTGTCGTGACTAATTTCATTCTGTTAGCTCAAGCGACGTCTGGGAGTACGCGGTACCGCAGGGAATACTCCATCTCAGAGCAGCAAACCCACCCAACAACGACGCGAATCTGTCTCGTCGATTGCTCCCCGAATGTCGAGGCCGTCCTCGTTCACCTCCGAGTTCGGCGTTGATCTCAGCCGGGAACGAAAAGCTTCCGCGGAAAGCGTCAGCAAAATATCCGCTCTGAACAAGAGCACGCGCCTCAACACTTCCACATCCATCGTCCCCACCCCCTCAAAGGCGGTTCGCGGATCCATGGGACCGCCGCCGCTTAGGACGCGGTCATCCATCGTGGGCACCCCCACACTCACGTCAAGGACACTTACACGGTCTTCCTCTGCGACGGTGATCCCTCCAGGGAAGACCAAAGTTGTAAAATCTCCGACGACAACGAACACAGCTCCGATCTCCCCGAAAACTGCAGCCAAGCAGGGCGAGAAGGAAAACGCGAATGCAAATGTAACACCTGCCTCGAGAAGGCTTTCTCGGATCCCGACACTCACTCAGTAATATTTAAATATCTGTACTATATTATTTAACACACTCCTTATATATGATGATAATGACATGCGATGAAATCCGTGGCCAGGAAATAGCGAAAGTCCCTCTCTCTCTCGTCTCTAACTTACCAGGGAGGCGTCATGAAATCGACCTTCAGCATCGATCGCGACATGGTGGACGAGCTTGAGCGTCGGGAATCTTGGAACTGACGAATGTGATCAAAGCATCTGACTTGAAAGAGCGTAGGGAGAACGCGATGCACAACAGGCTGAACAGAGTGGGAGGACTCGAGCGGCAGTTGCAGGATGCAAAGACTCGAAAGAGCAGCCTTACGCCCATCAGGATTTGATGAGCGCGTCTTCTAAAATAAGAATCTTTCACCCAATTTCGTTGTCAACCTCCGTGTACCCCCCGTTTCAAGGGCGCGATAAGGGATCTTTTTAATTACTCATTATGAGGGACGTTCTCGAGTGCAGACTCGGAGGCTGTTCATGATTGAGGGTGCCCACTTGAGCCCTTTTCTTGGTAGGTCGAAACCATTTCATCGACCACGAGCCGGTCAGGCCTGGGGCGGATTTTTTATCGAATGGAAGGGAAAATCCGCCGGGTCGAATCCTCAATCAAAAAATACTCAGACCGTCAATAATGTAAGCAAGGGGATACAGTGAGCAAGCAAGATACAAAAAAGGAAAGCGGCAAAAAAAAGAAAACGGCTGAACTATGCTTCAATCGGGATGCTGAAGGGTAGCTGCAACGGCTGAGAAAACGTCTCGAGCCAGCCAGTCCAATTTTTCTCCTTGTGGCGGCGCCGCGCAACCTCATTAAGCTGGGACCGGGTAGGGTAGTGGGCACAGAGGACAAGCCAATACTGTGACATGTCGCGAGTCTGGGTGATGGAGAAGGTGTTCTTGCCCAATACGAGGAAGGGAGACATATCGAGCAGTCCATTCGGTGACAGCTGTCGACCCGTGAGCAATTAGATGCCAAATATACGAATTTGCAGCGCACAGCAAAAGGGGGAGACATGGGGAAGGTTCGGCGCCGGTCGTCGAATAAAGCGTCCAAGGTCAGACCACCTTAGCAGGGTAAATAAAGTGGTTACACTATCGAGAGATTGCGATGTACCACTCTTGGGCCACGAGCATTCCAGGTCGGGAAGAAGGGTGCCGAGGTCTCTATTTTGCTGATGTGACGACTCCAGCCAAGTAGCGATATCGACTCCCGTAAAGCACAGGAGAGTTATACATAAACTTGCTCCCAGATCACTCGATAATCAATGTCAGTACTCTAGGCGGGAGGATGATAAACAAGGGCAGCATACTCGGAGTGTTTTAAACGATCTTTCCACTTTGTTATCGAGTCAAATTGGTCTCGATTGATCACAAAGTCAATTGAGACTGTGCCGCTTGTCAGCCCGCGCTCGCAAGCTATGACCGTCCCTCCCTTTATACCAGTTTCTGGACGCCCAGTAAGAAATTTGCGATTATAAGCTGGGATTGCGTACTGTTCGAAGAGGGCGGTTCCTCCGAATAATCGGATAATCGGAGGTGCGGAGGCGTCGCCTCCACCGACCATTCTCCGGCTTCATGCTCCAACCCGTTCTCAACGGTTGTCGGAGGAGTGGGCAACATTTCCATAGCTGATGCTGTAGAATCCTAAAATTCTATTAACACACAAGTTCACGAGACCGAAGAAGAGCTGACATAAATACGCTTGTTCATGTTTGTGACCATGTCTCGGATGAACTCTTGGAGAGCGGCCGCCGATGGTGGTTCGCTCATCGGCGTCCATGTAACTTGTTCGGTTTGGGTCAACTCCGGAGTCCCTTCTGGCGTGTCGACGTCCATATCACAATCCGTGGAATTGCTCGAATTGGCAGGATCTGGGGGTCGCGAAAGACCTCTTGGCGCCGCAGGACGTTGAAGGTTGCCAATCGGGAGAATTGCCTCGTCAGCATTCCCAACCATGGTAAGATTCACAGCCTCAATGGCGGCGTCTGGTAATTTCGGGTCTGCACTCGAAACTGGTGCGATCACTTCTTTGACCAAAGACGCCGGGACTGTTAGTGTATGCAAAACACGGTTGACTTCATCATCCATCACGGAGGACAGCGGAACCTGACATAACTTGAAGAACTTTTTAAAAAATGTCTAGTTGGGACGTACGGGAGTCGAGGTTGAAGATTCAGGGAGAGCGCTTGGCTACCGAAAAAAAATAGGTAAGGAGGCCGGAAACGAATCGAAGTTAGCCTACTTGTGCATGCGAATCAGTCATTTCCACCTCTTTGGACTTTTTGTCTGGGATTGGTGTGTCTTGAACGGCCGGAGGAGTTGGATGCGGGTGAGAAAGGCCATCTCTGGGCTCCACCGATATCGGAACGACGACTGATTCAGTTGTAGCTTGAGTGGTCTCCACTTTCTTGGAAGAGATCGGAGTCGACACAACAGGTGAGGTCTGTAAGGAAGCCGGAACCACAGACGAGGAAAGACTGGGGAGTTTCGGCTGGGCATCCTCCGCCGGTTTCTGAGGCGGTCCCCGCTGACGCTGACTGAGGTCAGCCTGGATAATAGATAGATCGACCTTCCTTTTCTTGCGCTTAGGCTTGGAAGCCGGTAACGGGGCAGAGCCAGAGCCAGCACTAACGGACGAGGCCGCATTCGTGGCGTTGGGGGTCTCCGGAATCACGGCCGCATCGACGGTTCCGGCAGCGGCTGTCGCTTCAATAGGGACTTGGGCCGCTTCGGCGACTGGAGCCTGAAAGCATCCGTGAGACAAACAATCTAGACTGTATACTTGATTTGAGATACCGGGTTGGGGGTGCCAGAACTCGTTTTCGTCGATGGTGGGGGAAGATTTACCGGAGCAGGCACCCGAGAAGTACTGGCGACGGGGCTAGTAGGCGTCAATGCTGAGGCCAGGGACGATGAGCTTGCGCGCATCTGCTGCCCCGGTTGAACAGCAATGGATGATGCGTGAGGCGTAAACCTGGGATTGATTAATTTCGAAGGGCAGCTTGGGTGGATGATTTACGGCGGAGGTGGAGATCCCTGAAGCGGCGCGACTTGTGGAAACACAGAATATGGGGGAGGTGCGGGAACTTGGGGAGGGTCCAGACGATCGGCGACTTGAATAAGTCGTTGAACGGAGGCTAAAGGTACGAGTTGATTCGACGCGTCCCGATTGGGGGTAGTGCTGACCTTGGAGGTCGGGTTCAACAAAGCGAGCTTGCCAACGTGCCAAAACACGGACGACTGCGACAAAGTGCTCAGACAAGGTTTTATACTGCGGGTTGGCTGCGTTTTTCTGTAGTGTCTCTTCTGCAATCTGTAATAGCGATTCTTCAATAGAGCCCGGGCCGTGTGTTCAGCCAGCGTAAAAGTACCAGTAGAATCTTCACTATCTGGATTCAGGTCAGGGAAGCGCACGCAAACGGAAGAAAGCGGCGGCATATGATATCTACCTCAGGCCGCGCTTCGTTGTAGTAAGCCTTTTCGTTGTCGAGCCATGGGCGCAGCTTTGACGCCGCCACAAAGTATTTTTGTGTGTCGCTTGCGGAGAACGAACGCTTAAAGGTATCGAATGTCCTCTGATTCTTTGCGAAAACATCCTCGCTTGACATTATTGATGTCTTGCCTGCAGAGGAATGCTACATGGAACCGAGGATAGAGAAACAGATTTGGCAGCGGCATCCGGACCGCCGACGGATCACGGATCACTTGGTATGTCTGATCACCGCAAGCCGGCGGCATAACCTCTTCTCCCTCGTTCCTGGTTCAAAAAGCAGTCAGCCGACAACGAGGGCAAAGAGGTGCTAGTGGGACCTCGTGCTGAGCTGGACGAGAAAGGAGCTGCAGAAGAACAGCAGCGTCAATCAACTTTCTAATTTTCGAACGAGGAGTCGAAGGAAAAAGGCAAAAGAGTTGCTACCGTGGTTCGAACACGGGACCTCACGATATCGCCTGGTTAATTGCAATCGCATGCTCTACCACTGAGCGCATTTCATCCCAGATCTGAGGCAAACCCTCAGTGCCGGCGGATCTCATTAGTCTTGAGCTTCCTTGTGGGGGAAACTGGCTTGCACTCCGTATACCTACCTCCATGCCAACTGGATTTACAATTAGATACAGGAAACAAGAAAGAGAAGACGAGAGATGAACAACACTTTTGTAATGCTCTAACCACAGACGCATCTTAAAAAAATATTGCTTTAGGACCAGCAAAAGAGACGCTACCGTGGGTCGAACACGGGACCTCACGATATCAAGAAATTGCAATCGTATGCTCTAAAGCCACTGAGCTATAGCGTCGTTTTTTGGTTCTCTGCCTCGCTCATTGGGGAAAGAAAGAAGAGGAAATGTGAGAAACATGACCCGGACCGCCCACGACCGCCCGTGAGAAATAACGGTTACCATCGCGATTTGATTCCCAGAGACTCTCCTTTGTTTTTGCCTTCAGCGTGGTGTTGTGCTCGAGCTTGCTTGGGCCACCCGCTGAAGAAGACTGCGCTGTGCCCGAGCCTGCTTGGGCCGCGCGGTAACTCGAGCTGTGGCCGTGCCCGTAGTCCACTACGGTCCGCGCTTCAGTGAATCTTGCGCACACAACATTTTTTGGTCGGCGCCACCGCCTATGTTCTACACAACGACGCCACGAGGAACTGTCGTTGCAGGAACCGAGGTCAGGCCCACATCGCCGAATTTTATGTGCATTTACCTGGAACTCCAACAGCCGAAAACATTTGAAACTATGCTCGTTTATTCCATAATGTTGGATAAGGCGCGCGCGCGAAAACTGTTGTGAGACCAAGCGTATCTGAACCAGCTCAAAGCTAGCACGCCGTCCTCCCGCGCGCCCGACCCTACGATGCCGACATGTCTATGGGTATGGGGGATATATCAGCTGATGTTTCTATGCAAGGCGTCGAGCGTCTCGATGCGTTCGGTGCGTTTGTTGCAGCTGCACTTCGCACCCAGTCTCATGTCAAACAGAATTGGAGACATTAATTCCTTCAGAGCCTTCAAAAGGTAGCAAAGGAGCGGCGGGAGCGACTGAGAACTGAGAACCGCCGACGTCACTTCCGAAGATGACTTTATTTCTTCGTCCATCGTGAAACGAGCAGACGAGTCTCACGGTCCGCATCCCGAGAGTCGGTTGATGAGAGAAGAAGACGAACTGGGAGAAGGCGACCATCGTCTGTTGATCCCATTGTTTTTCCGTGGATGTCGTCTGACTTTTCTTCTGTATGCAGAATTTGTGGAGTACACTAGTGCACAAGAACGAATTGCAGTCGGGAAGAAATCACGAAAGGTGCAGGCGAGCAAGCGGAAAGATGCTATGAAGGAGATGATCGCAGACGCGTATGTCGCCGACTCGTTCGCGCTTTGCATTCTTAACCTTTTGTACAGGGAGGAAACGAACGAGGAGATGGATGAGTGAGCAGGAGTCCGACGTAGCCGCTTTCAAGAAGTATATGGTATGTGCCACTGTTGCAGAGAGAGTTGACCAGGCGCTCAGAATGGATCAGATGAAGGGATCAGAAGAAGTTTTCACCGACGGTTACCGTCGGTGAAACGGGCCCGGCCCGACCTCCTCCGGGCGTAACAAGTGTCAACAAATCGACAGGCCTCTGGAGTTCGACTCCTTTCACCAACGGCCCAACGACGAGCTCGCGCCCTCTTTCACCTGCAATGTAACAGTTCCTCGACTTGCGCCGGAACCCCGTACATCGCCTTTCGGACTCTCGACGGAAGCGAGTAGTAGCATCCCAGAACTTCGACGTCGACCCTCCAGCCTCGACAAGGTCACAAAATGCGGGTGAAACATGTACAAAATGCGTGCGACGTAGTCTCATAGGTTGGTTCTGTGCTTGCCTCGGCAATGGGTGCTGATTTTTGCCATTAGATATATGCCTTTTTTTACGCGCAGGAGGAATGCCACTTTATCGCTCGTTGGCGTGATTTTGTTCAGCTTGGACTCAGTGGTTCGTTTGGGTTCTCTGGGATACTTCTCTCTTGTGTCGGTCATGCTTACAGTTCCTCGTCTTGGTTTTTTCTCTTGTCGGGTTTTCTCTCTCGTCGGGTTTTCTGCCTCGGATTTTCGTCTTGCTCTTTTTTCGCTGGGTTGTCGTCTGGTGACTAAACGACGTGGCTTTTCGTCTCTAGTGCGATCGTCTACGTGCATTCAAGTTTTCTTGCGACGCTACGCGGCCCACCGCGGCCTGGGATCGGCACCCGGCGGATAGTGAAGGCATCTGTCGCCGCAGAAAGGCATCTGTCGCGGCAGAAAGGCTTCGGGCGAATGGGAAACTGGCTTGGCCGATACGGTCCGAACACCGACTTGAGAATTATTTACTTTAGTCAATTAATGAATATCTCGGGAAAAGCCTCAGTCTGAACGCGCTGTGACATCACGTCTCTGGCGCGTCCATTTCCTCGCGTTTGCGCTTTCTGTTGTTCTCCCACTTGCCTCCTTGATACCTGGACATGTCCGAAACCTTGCAAAACTTGATTGCGCGGGTGCGCTCTTCTCTCTATCCTGTTTTCCTTCGTCTAATTGGCCTTTGCCCCGAAGATGCGCACCAACGTGGCCACACTTTCATTGCCAGCGACATCCATTGCACCCCGACCATCGACTGATGTCCCTTCTGCTTCGGTGCATTTATTCGCTGCCCTCTCTCTTCCTGGTGTCTTTTCCCGACGAAAACTGATGATTTCACGCGTAGTCTACCTCACGGACGTCTTCCAAGCGAGAACGCGTCGAGGTGTGTACATCTGTGGGCACTTTTCCTTGTTTCCTGATGCGTACACCCGCAGAACAAGACGGAAGATGGTGCTACAGCACAGGTACGCCCGCTTCACGGTTCTGCTTTGCTAATCCCAATCTCAACCTGCTTCCTCCTCTCAGGGCGTCACTAGGGAATGGGTCGACGACGAGGTACGTTCTTCCAACGCCTTAGCTGCACACCTTGTCACAAACGATGCGCAGGACGCGCTGGCAGAGCCGCGGAAGAAGCGGCTGAGGCGAGAGTCACCTCGGGCAGAATTTGAGTCGGACGTGCGTTTTGTTTTTACCTTTGGTATTCTCTAGTTCACATGGCAAAGGATGAGGACATGCCTCTGGTATTTTATCGTGCAACCTTGAAGCGTGCAAACACGACCAGGCGGGTCGAGAGCGACTCCGAGGTCCGTGCTCTCCCCGTTGCTTTTTTTTCTTCTCCGCTCAGCCCTGCACAGGACGATGGCGAACTGCAGTATGCCCTGCTGCAATCGTTTGGTGTCACGGTAAGTTATTATCTTGTTGCCTCTGTTTTTGTACTGACACGCCACACAGGTATCGCAGGCATGTTTCTTTCTTTACATCTTTTACCGCAGCTGATGGGAATTCAGGAGGAGGAAGAGGAGGACGTGAATGTGTTCCTCAACGGGGTTTGTTTCTCTTTCGTCGGTCGGCTTGAAATCTTCTGATGTTTGTTTTTAGTCGAGACTTGAAATCATTGACGACGAGGCCGATGTCGAAAATGCAGATGACGAGGCATCTGAAACGGAGGATCGCCCTGTAAGTTTGCTTTCCTTATGCGGATTTTTGAGACTGATGAGTTTCGTACTTAGAACAAGCGTGCAGGACGTGCCCGAACCAAGCGTGTGGTTCGTTCGCAGGTAAAGAACAGCGCGCCCGTCCTTGAGGTATCTCTATTTTCAGCACTCGCTTTTTTGTTCTCATGTATTCTGCAGCAATCTACACCCGATCCGCAACGTATCAGTAAAAACAAATCCAACGCCAAGAGGCGTGAGCGGCGGAGTCTCAAACCAAAACCCGCACTGTCTGTCTCCCTTGTAGACCAGGCTACCATTCGGGATGGGCTTATCAAGTCATGCTCTGCGCTGTTCGAAGAGCAGCGTGCCATTGCTGCCGCTATCACCGCAGCTGGGGCGACACCGAACGCCCGTCTCAACGCCGTCGACCAATTGCTCCGAAACTACCAGCAACTATGTCCGCTACCTCTGCCAGAAATCGAACCTAATCTCGCCGAATGCCTCGCTGCATATGCCGCCGATCCGCTCCATTGGAATGTCGAGACCTGGGTTGCGCGGGGTGTTTTAGTCGAAGACAAGGGCCAACTTGTCGCGAATAACACCGCCAGAAGCTATGTCCGCATCGCGCACATTCCCGGCAATCTCGCCACATCGTATCTGGAAGACAAGATGTATGCCAGACCTTCGGAGATCCCTTGGCTGGCCCTCGTTCTAGTCGCCCACGGCGTGTCTGTCGCAAAGGTCTCAGCTACGGTCAAGGCGGCCCTTGACCACTACGGGCTGCAGTCTGTCTCAGATGCAGTCGCAGACTCCATCCTGCAACTCTCCACACCGTTTCCCTGTGCTGCCGACGACCATGTCTCCGACACCCTCCTTCTCACGAACGGAGGTATCACTATCGCTTCAACACCCTATGGACGGCTCCAGGACGAGCTCAAGGCCCAATCCCATAGCCGGTTTCACCACCTGGCGGGCAAATTCCAATGGAAAGCGTATCATATCCCCGCTGCCGATACGCACGCTCCAGGCGGCCACCTCGACTTCCGCACCAACCCTGCGATCGGTAGATGGGAAGCATTGGTCGTAAATGCCAATCGCGGGCTTGGTCTCAACACCACCCCTGGCGGCAATTGGATTCCCACATGGCAGCCCCGTGCAGTGATTTCTGCAGTTGTCGCGAGCGCTAGACTGCCTTGGCAGCCGACTTCACCGTCTGGTTTGTCGCCGGAACTGGCAAAGCGTCTCAAGCGCTTGCTGAAAGGGGAACATGACTACTGGACCATGGAGGTGGGCAAAGCAAAGGTCTGCGTGCCAGCTACCTTGGTGTCAATCACGAAGAACCTGGTGGACGCCACGTGGACGGTGGCTGGTACGACGGTGGTCGTGACCGTAGCTGAGGATCTTACAGAGGAGGAAAGGAAGGGAAAAGTTGGTGGGATTGAGGAAGAGACAGCTGGTCCAGCCATGAAGGAGTTTCAGCATGCAATGCGTCTCCTGCACCCGGATCAGGCGAATCTTGCTACCCCGAGCGAGCTCCGGCAGATTCGAGGCTCCTTTCTTGACCTATACCGGCTGCAAGAGCCTGTCGCGCGGGGTCCGCATCTCCCTTTTTTTATGCGGCTCCTGGGCGAGGTGGCTCCTGCAATGATTATAACATGGTCGAACACGATGAACCGTGTCTTCGTCAGGGAGGAGGTTCGTCATATCGTGACTGATTCTGACATGGCGGAGTGTCGAAGTTTTTTCGCTGGTACCACGCACGACCCGACTCCATTCAT